GGAGCTGTTGCGGTTCGTTAAAGTCGTTATTGGGCACCGGCAAGGACTGTGCTTGTCTTCTCATAACTGCCAATGTCCCGTTCCAACTGCCCATTAACCGAACCCTGGCGCTCTCTCTTCCTCGAGCTTGTAACATGGGGGGCGTCCCATTACAATGCAAAGGTGCTCTGCCACTCACATAATCTTGCAATTTTTCTAATTATAATTTAATCTTAGTGTGGCCAATTGAAATATACTTTTAAGCTAATTGTGCGAAATTTCTTTTTAATTGGCAGCCGCTGCTAGTCCCTTAGCAGCTCCAGGTCCTGCCTTACTAGGGCCAACTCCCCCACCAAGAGCTTCTTCCCCTTTAAGTCCAAGAGGTAATCACAAATTTGCTAATTGTTTCTTTTCATTTTATTTTTCTGACTTCTGAAGGCATTGGTCAGTTTGGTCAAACATTTCTGGTGTGCAGCTTCTAAGGCAGTAGCAGAAGCTCCTGCACCACAATCTGGGACAGTTGATGATCTGCAGCCAACATCTCCACCAGTAGAATCCGAAGCTCCAACAAAATCTACTCCAGGGAGTGGTCGACTGACCCCATCACCATCAGCATCTACTCCATCTCATGTTTCCCCACCCTCTCTCCTACTCATAATTTTGGGACTTGTGGTTTATAAGTCCTGCTGATAGTTATTGCTGCTACCCTTCTTATGCATATGCCGTTTTGTACGTTATATCACATTCATATATCTTGTAATAGAAGTGTCTCTTAAGGTCTATCATTTTGGGATCGATTTTAATATGTGTAAGTTTGATACACATTGTTGGCCTAACTCATTCTCGGTTTCAACATTTAGGGATACGCGAATACCATTCTCTTTTATAATTTTCGGACTTATGGTTTGTAAGTCCTTTTAGGGAAATTTCAACGTGGCTCTATGTATGCCTTTTTGTATGGTATACATTATATTCACATCTTGTAATGAAATTTCTGTCTTCAAATCATTTTATATTGTTTTGGGATTGATGTTAATCTCCACTGCGTAATATGAAACTGTCTTAAAATAAATCTGTGAAATACCACTTTTTGTGAAAAAAAGTTTGGGGGAAAAGAAAGGGGCGGAAAGACCGTTTCTTGGTGCAATTTCAGAAGGCATTTGGACACCTCTCCTAACCCTACTCATATGCAAGAACAATATCAACCACCAGTATTGCCTAAAATAAGCTGTCAAATCCCTATATATATCAACCAAGTCACTGAGAAACACTGAAACAGAGAAGTTGTTAATTAATTCAATAATTATCAAAACAGAAAGTTAGAGAAGGAAGAATGGCCAAGAAGCTTGTTGCAGTGTTTCTCATGTTGGTGGTGGTTGTTGCAGCACTCCACATTCGGGAGGCTGAGGCAGAAGACGGTGATCACAAGGAATACAAGGAGTGCTTCGGCAACTGCTTGAAGGAATGCGAAGACGGCGACGCCCACGGTCAAACTTACTGTGAGATGAGCTGTGACACTGAATGTGCAAGTAAAGAGAGTGCCGGTAAATTTTCTTTTTCAGTGTTTTATGTTATCAGATAAATGTTTATATCGTCAAACTGTAAATTTGGAATACGCGTATCAATCAATATCATACTTGATCGTTAGAACTTACTAGGAAAATGTATGAAATTAAGGTTAATTGTGGGGTTTGCATTGTGCTGCAGAAAGGCTGAAGAATATCAAAGTATGAGCTTGTTGAATAGCCAAGGAGCAAGCACTTACAACCACAGAGGAAGAGCGATATACAATAAATTAATTAATGAGCTTTCATTCCACTGATAATGTATTAATTTGTGGAGGAGTTTTTCACATATACATGCAGTTTCCATGAATAGTGTATTAATTCGCAAGATGTAATAAATCGTTTTTTTTTTCTTTTCTTCAACACAAAACTCTGCAATGTTAATTCACTTTGATGAAAATAAAATTGTGAGATGAATCCTTCTTCGTAGTTGGCTAGAGCGGATATGCTCCTCACTATGCACCCGAGTTCGAATCATCTTCTTCATAATTTAGATTAATTCAAAATTGATTATCGCTTGTATCAAAACAGAAATATAATGAATGATGGATATTTGCTTATATTATTAAAAAAAAAAACATTTTATTTCATTCTTATTGATATTCCAAGAAGAGACATACAAATGAAGTGGGAACAACAACACCTAACAAGGAACTGTGCATGTACAAAATGACACATTGGTGCCCAGGGCTGTTACGTACTGTGGGTTGTTTTCGGGATCTTTGGGCACACATCTTGGGTAGCATTTGCAGCTTCTATTTTTGTATTGTAGTTTTCATTTATGCATTGCAGTTTCCGTTTCTACATTGCAGTTTTCATTTATGCATTGTAGTTTCCATTTTAGTACTTCCATCTTGGTTCCTCCATTTTGCTTCAATAAAATTAAATTTTGTTTTTGTAGCTGTTTTCGTTTTCGTTTTCTTTTTTGTTTTTATAAATATAATTGATATCTACATTGTAATTTTTAAAATTTTTTTTTTTGCAATTTCTGTTTTTATTTACAGTATTTGTGTGAATAAGTGTTGAATTGATTTTTTTAAATTTTTTTTTAAAAATCATTGATTGTTTATATAAATATTGTATAACTAAATAAATATTACAAAATCAAGTTTGGTGGTGGTGGTGACAGGTGGCCAGAGGCGGTGGGTGGCAATCAGCAGTGGTGGCCGACGGCGATGGCGGTTAGCTAGATATGAACATGTGGCATAATGTGCTTGCTTTAGAATGAGTGACATTGTGTGTAATTTTGATATTTTTTTAATGATATTTTTGTAAAATTAGGTACTACATTTTAGTCTTTGGCCTGATGCTAATTAGATGAAATTGTATTCCTATCTTCCAAATTAATAAACTATATTGTGTTTTAAAACTAAAGCTCCCTTGTTTTGATGGGGTCGAATTGTGGGTAGGTTTAAAGAGACAATTGCTCCACGTACATAGAAATAAGTATCTGAAGAACAAACCCCCTCAAGCAATGTCTTAATAGTTATTGTTGCACACTCCCACACCAAATGCTTGCCAAAAAGACAGGAAACGACACCGTATCAAAATTATTTGTCCCAAATGTTTTGCTATCTAAGAATTTGGCCCGAAGGAATCGAGCTGGGCCCAACTTAGCCCACAGAAATCGTTGTCTTCTTTGGCTCACCTCCCCCTCCTCTAAAACCTCTGATAACTCTGAACTTCGTCGTCTTCTTCTTCTGCCTAGCTCTTCTTGGCGAACTTCACAGCCCATACGGACACAAAGTTAACAGTAGGCATTTCGACTTTTACTTTACTTGAGGTTCGAGCTTATTCTTGCTCGCGTATTTGTACCTACTTTTCCTGTTTATTTCCTGTTAAGAATAGTATGACTATCAAATGCTTGATAAAATGTCTCAAAGATATTGACTAGTTAGAGCGCATTTGGTTTCGGCTTCCTTTCTTCTTTACTTGGAATGCGACGTTTTTTTGTCATGAACAATTATATCCATCATGAAAATTTGAAGTGTGGTTTTGTTATCACAAGTATAAAATAGGTGTGGTTTTATAGATTTTACGTTAATAGGTGAGTCTTTGAAGGTCATCTTATATTCGATGCACAGTTATTGAAATAAGGAAATGGTGGTGTTACAGAAGTGAAAAGCAAGCAAATGCTTGTGCTTATTTCTCATGCTATGATATTTGATGCGAGTGTGATGCTTATTAGTACTTGATTGCTAGTTCTTATGCTTTGAGATTTGAAGTAAGTGTGATGCTGATCAAACACTGAAATACCACATCTTTTGGTTTTAATATTTGTGCATGGCTTCTGTAGATATCTGTATTTGATAGAAATGGGTTGGAAAGCTGCTGAGAAACTGATTAGGCACTGGAAGGTTCTCAGAGGAGATAATGTCAGGAAGATGAAGATCATTTGCTCTTTGCCTCTTTCTGTATCTACATATATAAGTGAACTATTTTCCAATCTCATTTGCAGGTGATGATAATAAGGGGCAAAGACAAGGGTGATACGGGTATTATCAAGCGAGTCATTCGCTCTCAGAATCGTGTTATTGTGGAAGGAAAAAATCTGGTATCAGTCTAGCCTTATTATTGGTGTACTACTCCTTTGATCTGATTTTGTCTTACAATTTCTTGAGCTGTTTATTATATCAATTTTCTTTCTGAGAAAACTTGTTAAGAATCCTTTGGCCACTCAAATCAGATTGATATTGTTGATATTCTATAATATATTATAAATCATGTTTTTGGGCTTGTTGATAGTCTGTAAACAGTTTGGTTATGTATAAAAATATCTTTAATGGTTGAAGCTCTTCGAATGTCCATATGATTTATGAAATTCTCTATCTTGTGCAATGTATATGTAATGAGTTCCGTCTTGTTGGAAAAATCCATGGGTTTGAACTTCAAATGCAAGACCTTTACACTAAGGGCTGAAAGGATACCATCCAAACAAGAACCATGTAGTATATGATGTTCTGTAAACTACATGAAAAACTTTGATCTATTTGATCCTTATAATTTCAATGTTCAAGGTTTTTGGCAATTCCAACGAATTATGTGGATTTTGTTTGCCGCTGAACAAGTACTTTGTCTTTGCAGGTAAAGAAACATATCAAGCAAGGCCAAGGTCATGAAGGTGGGATATTTACTGTCGAAGCCCCACTTCATGCCTCAAATGTGCAAGTTGTTGATCCAGTGACAGGGTATGGATGCACTCTCAACATTATGTTTTAAAAATCCGTAGTATTTTGTTATTCGTTGATCCTGTGAAAGGGTAGGCAGGCATGCACTCTTTAACCTTGTGTTTTGACACACCTTGGTGTTTTTCTTTGTTTTATTTGTGCAGGAGGGCTTGTAAAGTTGGTGTTAGATATCTTGAGGATGGAACAAAAGTTCGAGTATCTAGAGGAATAGGGGCATCGGGATCTATAATCCCTCGTCCTGAGATCTTGAAGATAAGAACCACTCCAAGACCTACTGTTGGTACTTATCTCAAGTCCCGAAAACTATAACTTTCTTGTTGGTACTTGTAAAAGGGCAAAAATAAAATAGGATAATCTCTGTTTGCCATATCTTCTGCTGATACTTTTCATCATCAACTTTGGTTGCAGCTGGTCCAAAGGATACTCCTATGAATATTGTGTTGGAAAAGACTTATGATGCTAAAACAGGGAAGGGCATGGCTGAACTTTGAGAGAGTTAATTTTCCACTCATTCTATGTCAGATGGAAGATGTTGCAGGAAAAATGGGAGCATATTAGTTCTCATATGTTTGCCAAAAATGATTAAGAATTTCTTGTACCAAACTTGTGCTCTGTTTTTGTTATTTATTTCTTAGGTTCAAGGTCATCAATTTACTTAATTATCTTGTTTCCTTGTTTAAATTTGAGACAGAGTTCATAACTTTGAGCCATTTTGGATGTCTTACCATAATTCTCTATGTATATCATCGAGAAGTCTGACCAAAAGAAAATAAAATAAAAAACGTAGTGATAAGTCAACAAAATTTGTTTGCTAGCGTTTACATGTCCGTTCATGCCACTGCCATGTGAATCACGTGGACACGGCGACTTTTCTACACAGACTCAAATGCAATGCAAGCAGATCAAAACTCCAAACTACCCCAACCCTTTTGTCGTTCCCATTTAAAGTAATACAAGACAATGACAAGCCTGCATGTTCAGTGCTTGGTAACTACTTTAAACATTTGACACGTAAATTGGACACTCGTCGCCATGCATGCCCTCGAGGCTTCTTCCCTTATCTCCATGATCTCTTCCTTTTTATAGGGCTCCGCTGCATTCACCATCTTCACCAAGAAATCAAGGAAAATCTGAAACACAAAGCCATGGCGTTGAAAAGTAAGCTTCTTTTGGTTGCCTTGCTCTTGTCTGTTATGTTTCTGAGTGTATATGTAGCTTCGGCTACGCAAGACCCAGAGCTGAAGCAGTGCAGGCACCAGTGCGAACACCAGCAAGGGTTTGATTCAAAACAGAGGGAACAGTGTGAGCAAGGGTGTGACAAATACATCAAGCAGAAGAGGGAGGAAGAGAAACACAGAGGGAAATCAGGAGGAGGAGGAAGCTTTTATCCAATATCAGAGACCGGACGTGCGCAAGAGGAGGAGGAGGAGTTTCAGGGTCGACAACAAGAAGACCAAAATCCTTACTTCTTCGAAGATGAGCATTTTGAGACCAGAGTTCAAACAGAGGAAGGCAGATTTCAGCTTCTTCAGAAATTCACTGAAAGGTCGGATCTTTTGCGCGCCATTGAGAATTATCGAATTGGGTTTCTTGTCACTAAGCCACACGCATTTGTAGCTCCATCCCATTTTGATGCTGATACTGTTCTCTTTGTTTTCCAGGGTAAGTAGCTTACCTGTTTGATAATTGTTCTCTACATAAAAATTTGGGTCTTAATTAATCAAGTGTTTTTGTTATTATCTTTAATTAATTTTGTATTTTTTATGTGAATTAAGGTCGACCAGCCGTTACCATAGTTAGGGGAGAGAAGAGAGAGACCCATAATCTTGAACGTGGAGATCTCTTTAGAATTCCAGCAGGTACCCCTGTTTATATGGTCAACAGAGATGAGAATGAAAAGCTCTTCATTGTCAATTTCATGAAGCCAGTCTCTGTTCCTGGTGAGTACGAGGCATTTTATGCCGCCGGTGGTGAAAACCCAGAATCGTTTTTCAAAGCATTCAGCCCACAAGTACTTCAAGCCGCTTTAAAGGTACAAAGTATTTTGCTTTTTCTTTAATTTGGCAAATTAATCATATTTATTGTGCTAATGATTTTGATTTACTGCAATCAAACAGACGGAGATGAATAAGCTGGAGAGGCTATTTGGGCAGCAGAGGCAGGGCAGCATAACCAGAGCCTCCAAAGAACAAATTAAGAAACTGAGCCAACAGCACGGCCAAGGTGGAAGCGAAGGCTTCTGGCCTTTCCATGGTGGACAATCATCAAGTGATGCATTCAATCTTTTCAGCAAGCATCCCTCCCAAGCAAACAAATTTGGCCGTCTCTTTGAAGCAGATTTCAACGACTTCAAGCAGCTTCAAGACCTCGACCTCCTCGTCTCCTTCGCCAACATAACCCAAGTAAACAACCCAACTCAAATTTTTCTCAATCCAATTCAATTCAACAGTTATATGAAATCAATAGCTCAATGAATTGTATGTTTGTTTTGTAATATAGGGGGCTATGGTGGGCCCATTCTTCAACTCGAGAGCCACAAAGATCTCTTTTGTGCTAGATGGAGAAGGCTACTTTGAGATGGCATGTCCTCACGTTAGCTCAACCGGAAGACAAGAGCAGCAGCCGCAGCCGCAGCAGAGACAGAAGAGCAGCCCAAGGTACCAGAAAATAAGCGGAAACTTGAGGCGTGGGGCGGTTTTTGTTGCACCAGCTGGTCACCCAATGACAGCCATAGCCTCGAGGAATAGCAACCTGCAAATCATCTGCTTTGAGGTCAATGCTCATGACAACATCAGGGTCCCTCTGGCAGGGAAGAAGAATGTGGTGAGCCAGTTTGACAGGGAAGCCAAAGAGCTGGCTTTCAATGTGCCTGCAAGAGAAGTGGATCGCATCTTCAATAACCAAGACGATGAGTTCTTCTTTGAGGGACCAAATGAACAGCCTGAACATGGACGTGCTTATGCATGAAAAAAGGGGGAAGTTGAAGGGCTTCGAAGTTTTTATGTCTTCTAAGTAGAGGTTTTTGTTAAGCCCTAAGTAGAGGCTGCTGCAGTTTTGTGGTTCTGAGATAATATTGTATATATTATAACCTGCTGGTAGGGTGAGAATGTGTCGAGTGTCTACCAATGTAAATTCTGGGTTGTAACCTTAAATAAAGAGAACGACTTTCTACTAAGTTAACAGCATGTTGTATGTTTTGGTTTGTTTTGCTTTTGCTTGGAAGTTTGTTTTCACAAACATAAAAATTTCATGGATTTGAGTCTGACTTTGCAATAAGACTTCGCAGACATATCAGTCAATGTGAAATAGAATTTGTTCACATGTCCAGGTCACGTTGGTCACAACAAATTTGGATTTCTGCATAATTATATCTGCCCTGCTTGGATTTTTTTTTTTTAATCGCCAAAGCCCTGCTTGGCTCACCCACACAAAAAGAAGAGGAAAAAAAAAAGGTTTATTATTGTATTTCAATGGCTTAAAATTAAAGAAAAGTATATTTTTATTTTTATTTTTATGCAATTATGCAATTGTGCAACTTGCACAAGCTCATTGTCATGACCATCATCTTAACCCATGTCTCTAAAGAGAAAATTAGGTTTCTCAATACTTTTTTTTTTTCCTAAACCAATTATAAACAAGAGAAAAAGAAAACTTAATTATACAAAAGAATTAGTTGACGGGGTTTAGTTCAATGGTAAATGATTTTGATTTGTAGACTAATAGTCTCAAGTTCGAAATCACATCGCATGACTTTGATTTGCAGACTAGTGTCTCAAGTTCCAAATCACATTGCATCTTAGTAATGTGTGTGAGAAAACCTCCTATTCCTTTCTGACTTTGACAAAAAAAAAATGACACAAAAGAATTCTATTAATAAAAATGGACCCTTTTCTAAAAAATTAAAATTAAAATGGGCCCTATGATATTTGTCAAAGCAGCCCACCTGTCCATGAATAGCCCCAACGGTATCCTTCTTCTCAAAACCGACCCGCCTCCTTCCCTCTTCCCTTCACTCAATTCCTCTCCTC